AACATTTCTAAAGTTTGCTGTAGCAAGTCAAACACTTTTTTTGAAGTTGCGCCCCATCCAGGCTGAGATTGGTGCACAAAAAGCAACACTGACGAGCAACATTATGTGTGGATAAAAGACAAACGATCTTCTCCCTCCTCTGTGTCTGCCGACAGAGGTTAGCAGGCTGGCAAGAAAGGGAACAGGCGAGCGTCACATAGTGCACCCTGGGTAATGCGGTTTATTTAGGGCCATATAAACTGCCCAGAGAACATGATATGGAGAGTGCAGAAAAGAGTACCGATGTAACACCAAAATATGTGACCTATCAGATTCTGTGACCCACAACACTCCTATTGCAATAAAACATGTGAGCCATCAGATTCAATGTCGAAACCCAACCCAGAATCTTTTCCTGAACCTAACAATGTACTTTTGGCGCCTAAACCTGACCACACTGCGACCGCTTCACAACGTCAACCATGTGTTACAAAGCCCCGAGGGCTTAACTTGTATTTTTGGGTCACAGAATCTGATGGGTCAAAGATTTTAGTTTTCGGCTGCTTGTGAGTTAGTGCTGGTAAGTACAGGCCCGCTTCAAACACTGGTAGGTCATGTTCATTCATGTGTGTATTTTGGACCTGTATATGTATAATAATAACAACCGAGTGAATAAAATTACAGCCTATTCCATTAGAGGGATTAATAAAAAGTAGCCCATGTCTTCTTTTTCCTATGAAGCGTGGGCATGTTAAATAATAGGTTCAATTTTACCTTACACTATACATACAGTTGGGAGAAGTATTTGACACACTGGTGATTTTGCAGGTTTTCCTACTTACAAAGCATGTAGAGGTCTGTAATTTTTATCATAGGTACACTTCAACTGTGAGAGAGAATCTAAAATAAATCCAGAAAATCACATTGTATGATTTTTAAATAATTAATTTGCATTTTATTTCATGACAGAAGTATTTGATACATCAGAAAAGCAGATCTTAATATTTGGTCCAGAAGCATTTGTTTACAATTACAGAGATTCGTACGTTTCCTGTAGTTCTTGACCAGGTTTGCACACACTGCAGCAGGGATTTTGGCCCACTCCTCCATACAGACCTTCTCCAGATCCTTCAGGTTTCGGGGCTGTCGCTGGGCAATACGGACTTTCAGCTCCCTCCAAAGATTTTCTACTGGGTTCAAGTCTGGAGACTGGCTAGGCCACTCCAGGACCTTGAGATGCTTCTTACGGAGCCACTCCTTAGTTGCCCTGGCTGTGTGTTTCGGGTCGTTGTCAAGCTGGAAGACCCAGCCACGACCCATCTTTAGTGCTCTTACTGAGGGAAGGAGGTTGTATCTCGCGATACTTGGCCCCATCCATCCTCCCCTCAATACGGTGCAGTCGTCCTGTCCCCTTTGCAGAAAAGCATCCCCAAAGAATCATGTTTCCACCTCCATGCTTCACGGTTAGGATGGTGTTCTTGGGATTGTACACATCCTTCTTCTTCCTCCAAACACGGCGAATGTAGTTTAGACCATAAAGCTCTATTTTTGTCTCATCAGACCACATGACCTTCTCCCATTCCTCCTCTGGATCATCCAGATGGTCATTGGCAAACTTTAGACGGACCTGGACATGCGCTAGCTTGAGCAGGGAGACCTTGCGTGCGCTGCAGGAGCTCTCTTCAGGTCATTGACTAGGTCCTGCCGTGTAGTTCTGGGCTGATCCCTCACCTTCCTCATGATCATTGATGCCCCACGAGGTGAGATGCATGGAGCCCCAGACCGAGGGAGATTGACTGTCATCTTGAACTTCTTCCATTTTCTAATAATTGCGGCAACAGTTGTTGCCTTCTCACCAAGCTGCTTGCCTATTGTCCTGTAGCCCATCCCAGCCTTGTGCAGGTCTACAATTTTATCCCTGATGTCCTTACACAGCTCTCTGGTCTTGGCCATTGTGGAGAGGAGTCTGTTTGATTGAGTGTGTGGACAGTTGTCTTTTATACAGGTAAGGAAGTTCAAACAGGTGCAGTTAATACAGGTAATGAATGGAGAACAGGAGGGCTTCTTAAAGAACAACTAACAGGTCTGTGAGAGCCGGAATTCTTACTGTTTGGTAGGTGATCAAATACTTAGGTCATGCAATAAAATGCAAATTAAGTATTTAAAAATCATACAATGTGATTTTCTGTATTTTTGTTTTAGATTCCGTCTCTCACAGTTGAAGTGTACCTATGATAAACATTACAGACTTCTACATGCAAAATCAGCAGTGTATCAAATACTTGTTCTCCCCACTGTAAATATTAATTATGAACTGTCTTGAGACACAATCACAAATAAAGTGGGGAAGTAGACTAAGGAAGTTGCTATATATACATGGCTACATTAGAACATTTGAATTACATGGTGAATGTAAGGTGTCTTGTGATTACAGATAGCGGTGTTAGTAGCATGAAATACAGTGAAAGGGGAGAGCATGACCCCAGAAATGTCCCAAGCGGGGTTGCATCAAGGTTTTTGAAAATGTTCCACAAGGATCATTTCATGCTAATACAACAGCATTTCCTGTAATGTTATCATTGGCACATTGTGCTGCAAACATCCTGTTCAGCATCTTCCCATGGTGTTTTATTGGGTTAGATTGGGGGGGGGGAGGGGGTTCAGCTAAAGCCAAACCAAAACTAACATGACAGTGTCTGCTCCATGGCAACACACATTATCCTGGTGAAAGACACAGAGGGTCCTAAGACGTGCCAAAAAATAGCATTTCCTTCACTGTTGCACCATCACCATTATATGACCAAGCAATATTTTTCTACTCTCCTGTCATCAGGTGGTCGTGCGCTGCTGTAGCCCATCTGCTTCAAGGTTCAAAGAGTAGTGCGATGTGAGATGCCTCAGTGCACACTAATGTTGGAAAGCGCTGTTCTGTGCATATTTTTAGGCCACCTCATAACTTGAATGAATGTTGCCATTCTCCTTTCGCCACAGGACGAGACTGCTGACTGCATGTTTCTTAACCACTGAGTAGCTGTTAAAGCTGTGTGTCGAGGGCCAAAATTTTAGACCCTCAAAATAAGTGAAATGTTTGTTTTCTCTTAACATGATTGCTCTTTTTCATGACATGTAGAATAACAATGTTGTTGTTCAAAATAATTACATGAAGAAAAAGTTAAAAGCCCAAATATGTCCATGTCATTTTTACAAACTCCTATTGTACTCTTAACATATTATATGTTTATACAGATATTAGCTCTAAGGGTCAATTACACATGACATGAGTTTGTACTTCTGTATTTCTCTGCTGCTGTAACACATTCTCTAGTATTTCATAATAAATTTCATGGTCTTTGGTGGCTTATAAGATTATTTTCCATCTTTATTCCAGAGCGTGGTCTTTCAATTTGAGAGCATGACTTATTGATTTCACGTTCAGATTTTGTAATGCTTTCCCTGAAAACGCTGCCTTCGCACTCAAACACCCCTGCTTGTGCTTAGATTTGCTCAGCTTCTGCTCAAACGGTATGCTTGAACTGTTGCTTGCACAGATTTCCTGTGCCCCAGCTTCAGCCCTTCACTTAGATTTGATGCTTGAAATATATAGTATATATGGTACATATATACAAATAGCTGCCTACACATACATGTACTGCATGGAAGCTTTTTTTGAGACAGTTATGTTCCTTAAACAAACTTCAGTAGTGTCAGTGGAGAAAGACCCACCGGAAACAACACCGGAACGGGCTTCTTGTTAGTATCAGGTTTTATACCAACAGCAGTTTGGTAGTTATTCAATGTCTGTGTTAGTTCAGCAGTTAACTGCATTACATTCTGCAGAAAAAATGAAAAATTAGTTACCGTTAGACTTCATGATAGAGACACACTATGGCTGAGAACGATTAGAGATCATAGACAGAGCACAAGTCACAATAGCAGCGTGGCTGGTTTGTGAAACAACCTGTCCTGCGATTGAAAGGTCACAGGTTAGAATCCCATAACAGCCAGAGACCACCTTTGTTGAGGTGCCTTAAAGCAAGAACACTTCCTGTGCCACATTCTTTAAAGGAGTACACTGGTGTCATTTAGATTTACGGTCCATTTGCTTCTGTTTATACTGTATATATCTGACTTTCTTTTCATTTTGCGAGTGTGCCATTACCTTCTGTTGTCAGAAGATAATGGCACACACTGTTTTCTTACTTCCTCAGCTGTGCATGAAAGTAACTACTTGCAAAGATACCCTAAATTTTAAATATTACACTGTTGGAATATGACTGAGTTTTGTAAGGCAAGATGTCTTCAGGGATTATTTCTTAGCTTTTCAAGACTTTGTTTCTGTGAGTGTCAGGTGTTTGACACCAAGTAAAGTGTAACAACTCTTAGTCTGATGACACTTGAGTACAATGACAAATCGATCAAACTGAATGACAAAAACAAAATTACGGCTTCTGGTTTACTGTGATGGATCATCTTGCTTGAATGGTGGCTGCGTTTCATCACTGCACAAATAATGAATCATGGCACTCTGAATGTAGGAAATCACACCTATTGGAATAATTGAACAGTGAGACAGAACAGCCATATCCTGATGTAAGAAAATCTTACGCGGCGTTGACGCCTCTCCAACCCCTCTGGTGTGTGTATGTGGCTTCATACAGAAAAAACAAATGATCTGGTTTCTACTTGTTACTAAACAACCTTAAACATTTATATGTCTTGCTATATATCTGTCTTGTAAAGTACAGGAGTGTTAAAGTCTCAACAAACCTGCCAAAACTCAAATGCTAAGGAATGCTGACAGAGTTTACAATGTTAATATTAAACTACAAACCTCATGTTTCCACTCTAGATAATCAAAGTTATGCAGGTCTGCTTCTTTATTTCGGTATGTTCCGTATGTGAGGATCTGGTGAGCGGGAATAGCATATTAACTTTCTCTTCCCGCATCAGTCTCACAAAGAATCTGTTTACAGTGGGTTTATGAGCCGGGTGAGACACTTTCTCTGCTCGTCTCTCGACAGGGATACTGAGTGGAGGCAGAGGAGGGCAGAGGTGTGCTGGATGGGGGCCGCGACTGGGCCTGATGGGAGGAGCCCAGAACGCAGTGAGCTCTAATCACGTCCTCTAAAAGCCACCGAGGTGCTACAGTTCATGTGGAGACACTGAAAAGGTATAGAGATAGAGGTATGGGGTGCGGTTAGCTTACTTGGTAGCGCGTATGAGTCCTTAATAAAGCGGTCCTTGTTTGAGTCCAGCCTGCGACCCTTTGCAGTATGCCTGTCTGTCTCCCACATTTCCTGTTTATCGTTGGCTGTCTCTGAGAGATGGAGATAAGGTCATAGTCAAAATGATGTGTCCTATCAATCGATGCAGCAGCATTTAGATCTGTCAGTCAAACCTTGTTTTGGGTTACAAACACAAATACAAGCAAGTAATACTTTTCATTTTTGCTAATTTTGCCATGTTGAAAATCTAATAAAACCGTGCTTCCTCTCTACGTGAGACACCCTAAAATGAGTCCAGTTTAGGTTTAGTAGAGACTTTAAAGTGATATGTTGTTGATATGTGCAAAAACATTTTAAAAAGCTAGAGTTATGTGAAATCCTTAACATCTCCTGGATATCAATTAACATATAAAGTGCAGTAATTTCATAGGAAACAGACATAGGCCAAATGACACTGCAATTTAAACAAAAAAACAAACTGGAGCAGGGAAGACTGCTGGTTGATGAGGTGTATTAGAGAAATCATATATAATAATATAAAAGATTTATTCTTATTATTTTCTCCTCTGATACATGCAATGAAGAAAAATTATTAACAGTCTATCAAATGTTCAAATCAAATGCAAATAATTGGCTAAAACGACCCTATTCTGTATTTTATTTATTGGTCTTAGCGTATTATTCATCTTAACCAATAATATCTTCAAAGCGTCTCAGAAGGTGGGCACCTCTGTTTCTGTACTGCAGTCATCTCTACTCTTAATCAACTTCAGAAACATCCAAAGCACTCTCAGTTTTAGTATTTTTAAGTTGTAAGAAATATGATAGCTTTTGTTCTGAAAAATGTGAGTTGGTATGAAGAATCTTAATTTTTGTCTCCGCTTAAATAAAAAATTCCACTTTAAGCAGTTTGCTAAACATAGGTCTTGACCTATACCCACAAACCAACAGTCCCACTTAACAGAGCTTTTTCACTGCAGATAGAGATTTAACACAGGAAATGCACAGGTGTAATATATAACATTATTTAAGGCATTCAGGTGTCCCAGTAAACAAACAGTATAATACCAGAGATCTAAAAGAATTAAATAGAAGGCATCCATAAATACTGTTATTTATTATGTGTTTTTCTGCTATGACATGTAAAGATATCTGCTGTCAAAACAGACAAGACATTTGTGCTAAAGTAAAATCTCCAGCGGGCCTAATAGTTGACATATTTGCTTTACATATAATAATAATAATAATCATAATACATATGATGCATGTCCTATAGAGTTTTAGTAAAATACTTCAGGTAGCGATTTAAGCATTAATTTACATACCTATAAACAAAAAGAGCCTTTTGCCACCGGGGAGGTGCTGTCCTCATTTAAGGTTTTGTTTTCCTTTTCATCACCCTTTTCTTGTGCTTGACTCCAAAGGTTTTTGCTGTTTTCTCACTGGATGAATGTTTCCTGCTTCCTGCTGTAAAGCAAACTTCCTGTGGGTCCTAAAGCAATTCAAAAAGGCAGATAATGTAAAAAATAAATTAAAAAGTCTAATTTTAAAAAAAGAATAGCGAACAGTCTCCTCTGCAGTGGTGCTCTCTATTTCTAGAAATTATACTAATCATCTTACAATTGATGCAGTAATGATTTTTTTTTCATGTCCAAATGTTGCACCACACACAGGAAGAGAGAGCAGAGAAGCGAGGTGTGAGACTCTAACCTGAATTGGACAGACCTCACAAGCATTGATTAATGTAATCAAAGCTCACATTATATACTTTTGTACAGGCTATGATTTTTCTTTTGATTTGTTGTGCCAACAATGTTAATTCACGAGCAATCACCCCAACACCTCAGGAAACATAGCATGTAATAAACCTACCTGACAGAGCCTGCTAGCAGAGCCATCACAGGTGTTAACACGCCTCTGAATCCCTGATGTACCGGGTTAAATACAGAACACAGCCTGTCAATTTATGCAAGCCAGTAAAGACAGATGTTGTGTTGTGGTGTGTGGAGTCGCAGTATGATGAAAGGATAATGGTATCAACCCAATGGGATTTCACAACAGTGTCTCGATTCCTGTGGATTATGTGACACCTATTTTCATGAATATCTTGCATGTACAAGGTCTATTCATGTATATGATATTCTTTACTGTTCCACAAGGGGAATTCAGGTCTGTGTTTCTAGAGAATTATAAAAAAATCCCTGCTTATCTTTGGATATCTTATCTGTGGATATCTTTGGAATCAAGAAGCATCCTGCCTCCTTATGTTGACTTTCTGCTTATTTATCTTCCTCCTTTGCTACCGTTTTATGGCCACTAGAGGTCGCTACCACAATAAATGCAAATAAAAGAGTACATGGTTATTTATTTGTCATAATAGAAAGCAAGGTTGTATTACGCTAAGAAAGTTTGTAGTCCCTTCATGCTATACACAGAACTTTACAGATAGTTAAATGTGTCTAATATGGGTCGTAAGAACGTGCTGCACAAACTGTCTCTAATCTACCAAAGTGCTTGTTGACACCCTCAGGTTGTGTGCCCATGAGGTCGTCCATGCTGGTCCTGTTCCTCCTCTTCATTGCCCGGGCTGTGGCTGCCATCGGAGGAGACACGTGCACCGCCCCAACAGCACAGCAGAAGGATCCAGCCAATAACGTTAACTCCATCCCCACAGTGGACCCTAAACTCTTCACCAAGCGCCGCTACCTCTCACCCAGGGTGCTCTTCAGTGCTCATCTCCCCGATGCAGAGCCAGCGGGGTCGAAGGATGCTGGTCGAAGGACCCGCAGGCGAGCAAGGCAGCCTCAGCACCGTGGAGTTTACTCAGTGTGTGAGAGCATCAGTGTCTGGGTGGGCAACAAGACCAAAGCCACAGACATCTCTGGCAATGAGGTGACAGTGCTGCCATATGTGAATATCAACAATGTAAACAAGAAGCAGTACTTCTTTGAGACAACGTGTCACAGCACCCGCTCAGGAAGCTCTAGCTGTCTGGGAATCGATGCAAGACACTGGAACTCCTACTGCACCAACTCACACACTTTTGTACGAGCGCTGACTTCGTTTAAGAACCTGGTGGCATGGAGGCTCATACGCATCAACGTGGCCTGTGTGTGTGTGCTGAGCCGCAAGTCATGGCGGCAGTGAAGACATAGCGTGTACATCACACACACGATAACACACTCTCTTCTTCACCTCTCACTCTCTGCACAAAGTAAATTATTGGTATACGTCAAAGTTTCAGGACTGCATGTATATACACCAGGCCTGGGTCAAACAGTATCTGCCACTGGTTTGTAACTATTGTATTTACCCGTTTAGGAGTACCAAACATAAGGGGGGTTGTTGCTTTGTCACTTAGCTTCTGACAGTATTTATTAAACTGCTAAGAATTACACTGAGGAGCTCCACCAATTATACACATCAAAGTCTTTTACAGGGCTTGGAAATCCTACTGCATATGTATAAAAAGTTTTATAAAGCTTTTTGTGGCTCCAGAGGGAGCTGTATTAAGTCTGATAAATTACCTCAACTGACGTCAGATTAGGCAGCGTGGGTTGGAGCTAAAGACCAGTTTGAAAATAAAAACAATTCTAGGGGATGTGGAGTTAGAAAGAAGTGAGCTAACCAGACCTCTGCAGCCCACTACTCATCTCTCCTTGAGGCCAGTGGCTCGATGCATAAGTCGCTACAAACATAACCATAAGCATAACAAGCCGGAATGTCTGGCTGAACTGCCTGCAGTCAAGTTGCATTGTGGGTAATGTAGGCACCAGCAGTTTTGACATAGGAGAGGAACGCATAGAACATCTGCAGTTCTGCTGCATGAATTTTCAACAACATCAACTTTTTTTCTGCACATTTATATAAGAACAACATTATAGGGGTGCAATGCTAAATCAGTGGAGTACTCTTAAGAAACAGATTTATCAAGCGACTTGTTAATGTAAAAGTAAACTTTAGGAGCAACTCTTGATTGACATGATTGATCACATGTATGCTATGAGCAGGAGCATCAGAAACAAGAAATTAACCAAGAATCCTTAATATGTCCATTAGCAATTGCCATGTGGAATAACAATCAAATATTTTTATAATAGATACTGAGGGATAGATGTGTGTTAAATTGGCTACAATAAAAATAAAAAGCAAATCAAACTCAGCAGCGGCTGGTATAGGCTACAAGGTAAATCAGGAGTACCACACTGACAAGTGCAGACATTGAAGATGCATGAAAAGTGATTTCAATCAAATCAAAGCCAGCTTTATACTTCTAGTCAGTAGCACTAATGATTGCAAAAAGGAAAGAAGTACATTTCAACTCTCAACTAACTCCTCAGGTCAAGCAGTTTACTTGCATTCGAAGGATAATGGACATATTCTGGATACAGAGGAAAGATGGTTTCAAAGAGGAGTGAAAGAAGCCATTTGCAGCAGAGTAGAGAAAAAATATCTCAACAGGGGAGGTGGTCTGCGACACCACTTATCACCCATCTACAATGCTGTCTTTTCATCCCTTCCCAAGAGATTGAACATACACTCACATTTGGCCTCATGAGACAATCCCAACCACGGTTGTTCAGACTTGGCCTCAGGTGACTTCAACAACCATGACGACTGCTGTTACAACAGCAAAGAGTGCCAGTGAACCAAGTGGTATCCATCACCTTGATAACGACCCCCCAAAGAGGTTATATAGCTGGGACTCCCTGCCAGTCTGTCAGAACTGAAGAAGCCTCTTGGATGAGAAGAAAAACATCTCCAAGTATCTTCAATAAGTCCAATTGCCCTTGATTTTAACCCACCTTGGATGTTCTTAATTATATGTCACTTGACTAATGACATTTTGTACAATCATAAATCATGTTTCAGAATTTACATAATACATAATACTCATCAGCCATCAATCATAATACAGATCAGCCTTTCTCTGTGTAAAATGCAAAATGTATTTCTGAAAAATAAATCCCACAGTTACACACACGCCACAGGTGATCCAGACTCGGAAAATTGTGACTGAAAGGAAATTAGTTTCAGCTGTCTGAGTGAAGGAACGAAATTAAAAATAGCACTAGGGCCATACAGTGTCAATTTTAGCATTTAAAGTCTAGTTCCACATAACCAGGGGCCTAGCACAAAATTCTGGACCCGTCTCCCGTCTCCCTGCTCCCACACCTATTCATTCAACTATCTTCCCTCCACCTTATTACAACCCTGCACATGATCTTAAACCTTCTTTCTGCTTCTGCAGCAGGTTTAATTTAAACCTCAGATGATGAACTCCAGTGGCATTTAAGTGACTACTGCTGGACTCGGCAATGGTGGTTAAGAAACTACCTGATTTTGTTCAAGACAGCACAGGCCTTAATCCTTAAACCGCTGCTAACATAGTGAGAGAGCAACAGCCCCTAAGAGTTTTAGCACCACACAACAGTCATGCTGATTATAGTATTTTTTCTGCCACTCATCCTATACCACACCCCACCTATTCTAAGTAGACCAATGCAACCCACACACTTTGAAAGTACAATTTGACCCAGGTCTCATTTAAGAAATACTTCTGTTAAAACGTTGATGTTGATATTGTTATTTATTAAACACTTACATACGTGCACTGTGTGTTTTATGACATTTATTGTACGGTGCGCCTGTTGTTCCTGACTGAGTAAGCCTCTTGACACAAGAATAAATTTAGTTTTTTGGCCTCGATTGAAAAATGGAGAGAAACCCCTCATGGCTTCATTTTACTGCCAGTAATTTGGTGTTTTGGCTTTGCTCTGTGTTTTTTCTCCTGCTCTCCATTCTATAGTAGATATAAAACAAAAAGGAAAAAGACAAACTATGATTCATCTGGCTAATAGCATTTTCTTTGTTTTGGCAGTGACATTTCAGTGTTGTCAGTGCAAAACAAACTATACTCGAGGCATAACATCAGTATCAGTAGTGATTTTAGGCTCATTGCCCAATTTTGCATCACAGCTGACATTTAAGGTCTGATGTAAGCTCAGGGAACCTGGAGGTAAAGTGGAAACATAAACAAGAGGCTGCTGAAATAATGTTTCTGGAAAACAAGACTTTTAAGACAAGTACTCACATTCAAGTTGTCTCCATCAACTATAAATACTATTTCTTTAAAGCCCATTTGTTTAGTTTACTACTGATTTGTTTACCTCAAACGTCTCCAAAACAATAGGTGCGTTTGACTTAATGCAGCGCTGTGCAGTGCTGGACTTAAAATAAGGCATGCTGTTTAGAAATTGTGTCCGACACCGGCGCTGCAAAACGTCACCATGTCGCATGACATTAAAACCTCGCGGGAGCAAGGCGGCTGCAGGCGCCGAGTCCGGCGGCCGCAGTTGCTTTTCCCCGGCTGCACCAAGTTGGAACCACACTTTTGCCTGGTCTCGCGGCATTTTCTTTGCAAACGACGCGAGATCAGTCATTGATCTCAGCTCACAGTAAGCTCGCGCAGGTAGAATGTGTCCAACTTGACGGAACTGTTTTTATTTCCCGCCCCTGCTGCTATGGCGGGTGGATTATGGCGGCCGCCGTCATCTCTAACGTAATGCCGTAATGCCTCACAAAAATAACGCAGCACTGCCCTCTAGAGGTCAGAGGTTGGAACACGTCTTTAAATTAAACTTCATGTGTTATCATCATAGACTGTATAAAAGGTAAACATATTATCTTATGTTAACATCATATATTTAATACTTTCGGTTAGGTATTATAAGGAGTGAAATTATAAAGTTAAAACTGTATAATTCTATACGTTGTCATGGATTGCATGCAAAACATCAGTTTGTTGCGCTTATAATTTTGAGTTTTACGAGAAAAATGCATGGTACTCTCACTTAAGTGCCAGCTTTGGAAAAAAGCTAAAAGCTTGTTAGTGAATATATGGACTGCGCGTGCGTCGTGCTCTTTTCACGTTCAGGCGATCTGCTTGAACAAAAGAGCTCTTCATCGTTCTTCGATATTTTTTATAACACAGCTTAGAGGCGATAGATAAAGACAATGGCGTGTGGACAAAGACCTTATGGATACAAACTTCCATAAAACAGTATATTATCATTTTATCTTAACACAGATAGGCCTATGTTTTTGTAGCTTTCTATTATCACAAATGAAAAGGCATTAGTCACAACTATAAAGCAGCAGTGTTTTTTCAGTGTTTCAGTACACAGATCTTTTACTTACTTAAAAATACCATTACCACAGTGTAGAAATACTCTATTATAAGTAAAAGTCATGCATTCAAAATAGTATGGAAATAAAAGTACAAAAGCATCAGCGTACTCATTATGCAGAATGGCCCTTTTCAGAATATTGTATAATATTATGATTATTTGTGCAGTCGTGTACAACACTTATATCATAATTTATTATGCTGTTTTATTAGTTTCTTATTTGATATTATTAATCTCAATCTACAAAATAAATGTGGAGGGCAGTGTTTGCCTCTAAATTGTGGTGGAGTAGTATAAAGTAATAGACAATGAAAATAATAGTAATAGTAGTAATAGTAATAACAGTACCTCAAAATTGTTCATAAGCACAGTACCTGAGTATATGCACTTACCTTCCACCACTGGAACGCAGGTAGGTTTGACATTAGATTAGATTTAGATTTAGATGATAAATACTTGTTACTGTAACATGTGATACTAAAAAGCACATTTATATAAGTTTTATAATTAATTGATTGTGTGATTCTTGACTTTTGATATAGTTTGACAAAATAATCTTATCTCTTGAAAAAGCTTGTGGAAGCAAGCTTATAATAATAATAATAATACATTTTAAATGTAATGGCATACAAATGAAATTGGTCACATTTGGGAACACATAAATTCAGGAAGTGTAGACTACCTTCATATAAATGAGTGTAAACAAGCTATCAAACTGTATTTGCAATTCTCAGTCTGTCCACTGGATGGACACATTGAGGTGTCTAGTCCTGGTAATCTCTAAGGTTCCCACTCTGCTGCACTCTTGGTGACACAGATGCAAAAATACGGCCCTAGTTTTAACACACTGTGGTAAAAACACTGACGAGAAATGTAATTTACAAATTACTTGCAAGCCCTGTGTTTCAGGATAGATTTCAACTCTGTTTTGTCTTTGATAAAGTTGTTAATAATTAACTGATCTGATCTGTCTTTCAATTCAATTACTATTTTGGTATCACCAGACTGCCCATCTCTTCTGATGTGTCTTGGATCTTAAGGGTGACACATATGTGGGGATCAGGTTACATTATTTGCACCAGAATCAAGCCCTGTAGAGGAGGGTAAGGAGAGGGCGGCTGCGGAAGGATAATGAGATTTTGACTCCATTATACCCTGAGGATATGGTTTCAGTTTGGATGTACATCCACTGTGGAAATTACAGCTCTGAATTCATGACAGGCTTGGACCAAAGTGATATTAGGTTAACATTGATGCAGTTCAGTGATCTTATTCAGAGAAACTATCAATCATTTGTAATTAAACAGGGTACAATGGTCCATGTATCTATCCATCAAAAGGAGCAATGCTACTAATGTCATAAATTAATCCTTTTACATATTTTTGCTGACTCTTGTTGCTCCTGGAGTTGTCATCCGATAAATAGAGGAGGTAGGCAGTGATGTGATGTACTTCATGAGCCACCCGTTTCCCTCCCACATCAATGCAGCAAACAAAGGCAGAGAGCGCGTGAACCCGAGCTGACCGCCCCCCCGGCAGAGAACACACAGAAGAGCTTTGGTGAAGCTCCATATGCAGTCTTCATTCACGGATACTAGTTTGTATTCAGTGTGTAAAGCAACACTACAATAACATGTCTATGCATTCATGTTCAAATTATACAAATAGTTATTAAATATGTCTATATTAATACATGCAAAAGCAAATAGGTTGATTTTCACTGTGACATGTAACACTAAGGAATACACAACAACTCTGCAACTCCCATTAGAGACAATGAGGTCATAGCCTTGGGATTTGGGGGGGGGTTAAGGTCAGTATATTTCATTTTAATATATATTCTAATAGATTTCAATGTACTGTATTTATTTTTAGACAGACAGAAAACAGTGTTTATTTTGTGTACACAAATTATTACTCAGTCAAGATCCAAAAGATCCAAAAGAAGAGAATTACTTTAATGTAATAAATTTTCATATCTTGTGAATGCAAATTATTGTCCTCTAACATCGAATGCTAACATGCTCACAGTGACAATGCTAATAATGATGTTTAGCATGCATTAAATGCCTTAGTTTAAATTGAGGCTGATAGGCATTGTGCATGTTGTCATAAACCAGGGGTTTAAAAGCTCGGATAAAGGCAGCCACCAAAAGTACTGGAACACTTACGCATTACTTTTATGACATCCCATTATAAGTCTATATGTATTATTATGGAGTTGCCAACCAGAAGAGCATTTATGAGGTCAGACACTCATGTTGGACAAGAGGGCCTGGCTCGCAATCTCCGTTCTAGTTCATCACAAAGGTGTTCAATAGGGTTGAGGTCAGGGATCTGTGTGGGCCAGTCAAGTTCTTCCCCACCAAACTGGGAAAACCATTTCTTAATGGAGCTGGCTTTGTGAACGGGGATATTGTCAATCTGAAACAGCAAAAGGTCAAACATAAACTGTTGGAAGAACTAATGTCTAAAATTGTATGTTATAGCATTAAGATGTCCCTTAACAAAGACCACACCATGGTCTTTGTTACTCCAACCACAAATGTCAAAACTTGTGGTGGCACTATAGAAGAGCATCACCAAAGTCAATGGGATTCATCACATGGGGACCATGAATGTCTGTACTGAATTTAATCAATCCAATAGTTGTTGAGATTTTTGCACCAAAGTGGTGCACCAACCAACAAACCACATTGCTATCCCCAAGTCATCCCTCTGGACTTTGGGGCTCCGTGGGATTCAGCTAAGAAGTAAGTTAAAGAGGCTTAGAAACTAAACACAGGTGACTGTGTTTTATGTGCATACTGTACACATGTTGATATTTCCACAATAAACACAGGTATCAGTGGTGTGGTGTACATGCAGGTTTAAAAGTGTCTCTGTCAGAACTAAAGGATCACTTAGTGTATAAACTCTTGTCCAACTTTCAATGCTAAGGTCATGTAGGTATGAGAAGCGAAAGTGAAAATGTAATTTCGCGTCCCACTGGCTGCCCTGAAGAATTTTACCTTATACAATACCTTATTGTGGTTACAGGCATTTATTTGCACATCCTTGTCGTCAAGCATATCGTAAGAAGTAGACAACTGAACAAAACACAAAAATCAAACAATTACTTTGACTTCTCTAAGTAGATAATTAGCCCGCCAGATATTCATGGCATGAACTCGGCAAGCTTATTAGCCGTAGCTAGCCTATTAGCATAATGTAAAAACGTAGAAATAACCTTGTATACATCATTGACCACGTTAACTCAATGAAGGGAAGCTTTACGCGTCTTCACTTAATCCAAATCTTCATGAACATTTAAATATACAGCAGCTAACGTTTTAAGAAACTATTAAAATATTAGTTCCGCTGTGTAGCCTAAACATTATACAGGTCCTTTCAGACATAGGCTGTGAATTAACAAAAAAAACATTATTTTATTAAACATATATCATTCTTATGTTTAACTTAAACGTATTTAATGAACTTAAACTGTATAACTGAGTGATGACAGCGACACCTGCAGTGGTCCCAAAGACCCTCAGGGGTCCTTGTGGTCAGGCTCTGGGTGTCCTCAGCACACTGAGTTGTAGGCTATTATTAAAAAGTAGAACAAAAAAAAAAATAGGGACTGCAAACAGATGGCAGCAGTTTCACATCTCCCACCCACACTGTTATATAATTTGATATGTATTCATATCTAAAAATACATTTCCTTTACAAATGAGGTTAAATGGATGAAATCTAATTCATTAATCAAGGGTCTTACTTGGGGGATTTAATCTTTGATATAACAGTTGCCAAATCATGCACTTTTATTACCGTGCTAAACCCCCAAGAAATGATATTACATAGGCTACAAAAATGAACCCATCCTTGTGTTGTTGGGAACCTCCTGCAGTCTCGCTCCCAGGGGTCCCAGATCGTCCCTGAAGCCACCCTCGTGTAGGCTACATCTCAGCACACATTGGATATGCAGCCTACTCGCGGATGGGCGGTGCAAGGCAGGCTGTGTAGCTTGTGCGCATGTGATGTAGCGGTGCAGGTCACCATCATTA